TGATTCAGATGAGGATCCCTATTTCTCTCCATCTGGCGTGGACGAAGGTCATCTTATACGACATCATCACTTTCGGCTAGGTATTGGGACAATGCAATGTTATATAGGGTAGCAAAGACACATAAGTCCTTAAAATCCAACCAGTGCGTGCCAGGCGCTCTACCGGGGTCCATGTAGTTGATGCAGTGAACTGCACCTTGCCTACCACCACTTTCATCTACTCTTCTCGAAACAATTCTTGGTACTTCCATAAGTTACTCCTGATTTCATATGCTATTTCTGCTCTATGCCCCAAATATTGAATGTCAGACATCCATAGACAATGCGAGAGTGCCCCAAAAACCACATTGTTCATCTGGACTCGGGTCGAAATGGTCTATCACGACCTCGCAAACAAACTCTGGAAAAAGATAATCCATGAAAGCATAATGATGTCATCTTTGGGGCTCTGGGTACATATTTCCAAATATATAAACAATAGTTTAAAATAATTAGAATATAGTGATAAATTAATTTTGTAACAAGAGTTGGAGCTTGACTTGTATTATCATCGTGTCTGTCATATGCAAAATCTGACGCTTGGTTATGGGTGATGGTTGAACGAGACCTACCTCCACTCTAACAGGACCTCGTACTCCTTAAACGGGAACATGTACATTGAGATTGGTCGAACCATGAAGGAATGTGACTGGTGCCTGATTGAGGCCTCCTTCTCGTCTCATTCACTTCTGGTTCCCTCACGTTGTCCTCTATCGGGTGAAGTCCGTAGAATAGGGCATCTCTATTTTGTCTGACTGCTTTAGGACCTTGCTCTTCCACTTCCACGACCAAACACTTAAAAGTTTCTCACTCCAGATCAACTTCTCGCTAAATTGATCTTTGTTTGGCGACCTTTGGTAATCCAAAGTCCGCCAAAAGACATGCAATTCCTTGGCGTAGAACTGATGTTGTCTCGCCTTAGCTGCAATAACCTGACAAGCACACATAAGCCCATATATCGTCAAAAAAAGACACCATAACTTTCCTTGTACCTCTATGCCCCATCCAACATTAGTTTGATGGCCTCGGTGCTAACTTTCTTCCTCAACAACGTGCATGGATCTCAATTGTCGTAGAGAGATTCCGGGTAAGGGACTTGTGAAGATCATTCATAACTTCCAAAAATTGAGCTTCCATGTAGTTGTGGTTCTTCGCAAAATAAGTGCCCATCGCCCCTCTACCATATAAGAGGAATGTCTTAAATGAAGAGTGAGATGCCTCGATCCTGCTTGTCCTCGTGTTACCAAGATGAAACACCTTGTTCTTATAGCCCCTTGCCCACTTTCTCCTGTGAGGCATCCACTCTAGGTTCACGTAATCAACTAACCTTTGGTTCTTCCTTCCCCAAACGTCAACAAATCCTTCCAATACTTCACGCATTCCTTGACTCGTCAAACAATCACTAAAAGAAAACAATGGTTTAGATTCGGATGTTTTGTGTCGGTTCATTTAACGGACACAATTTTTTTTTGTTTTGAGTCGCAATTTTGTGTTGGTAAGTAACCAACTCAAATTTTCTTGGCTTTGTGTCGGCTAAGCTAGAACCGACGAAAGTTTCATGAATTTGTGTCGGTTATGCATGAATCGACACAATTTTAAGTGGTTTTGCCTCGGTTTATATGGCAATCGACACAACTTTTGATTGATTTTTTGGCTCCAAATTGGAAAATTCCAATTTTCAAGTGGCCGCGAAAAATTCCTCTCCCCAACCGCTCAATCCCAAAAAAACTAAACCCTCCCCAATTTGTACGAGCCCCTTTCCTCTCTCTCTCTCTCTCTCTCTTGTTTTCATTCTTATCCTTTTGCCATCTCAAACAAATTCACCCCCCTTATTCCCCCTGGTTCATCCGTCTCCCATCATCTTCTTCCCCTCTTCGATCCGTTGGCTTCCGTGTTCTCTGCCTCTGACTGCAGCCTCATCCTGCTGCCGCACTCTAACTCCGGACATAACATCATCCCTCCATCGCAAGTACGTTTTCACTCACCGCCTCCACAATCAGAGACCACAGAGCCTTCCACGACCTTGCCAAAATCGCCATCCTAGTTTCGGTTGTCGGCGCCATCAGTGGCCTCACATGTCATTGTTGTCTTTAGGTGAAGCTGTAGTCGACTACTCATATATGTGCTCCTGTCGTTTTTGCCATCCTGATCCACTCCGAGATCCTAGGCTCCATCACCGTTGCTGCATCTTCAAAGTCCCCTACCTTGGTAGCCACACCCTTGGTCGCCGCATCCCAAAACACTGCGGCTCCCTATCGTCCTCCATTAGAGTTGGCGATGCTTTTGTCACCATCAGTCATATCTGTGGTAGAGATGAGGCAGAAAGGCGTTTTCTAGGTTGTTGCGTTTCTGGGTTTATGTACGCATAAGGTGGAATTTGTACGGGTTTTTGCGTTTTTGAGTTTTTGTAGGTCGATTTGTATGAAGAAGTAAGGTGAAATTGGATTTTTAGGGTTTTTGCATTTTTGCGTCCTCAAGAAGAAAAGATGGGATCTGGATTTCCTGGGTACTCTATGATTTCAATATTTTTTTTTTGTTCTTGGGGTATGTGGGCGAGTGGAAGAAAGATCTGTCACCGATCTAGGTTGGAAATGGCAGCAATGAGGCAACAATCAGCTTTCGGCGGAAGCTATTATTTTTTATAATTTGTGTTAATTATTTCAAGTCAGTTAAACAGACACAAAGGATTAATGTAATTCCGAAAATAAATTTTCTTAGTAAATGATTAGAGTCGGTTCAACCGACGCAAAGTAACCAATATAAAATGATTTGTGTCGGTATTTTGGCGGTTTCCATTAACCACATGACTCGACTTAGTGTCGACAGGTTTCGTGTCGGTTAAGTTAATCGACAAAAAAAACTTTTGTATCGGTTATAACCGACACAAAACTTAAGAAATAACGACGCTAAATGACAGTTTTCTTGTAGTGAATATGCGGGCGCCCTAAAATACTTAGACCATACCTCAATTGCCAACGCTCTATTTGACACCCCCCAAATATCGACTCAAACTTGGCCTTCACGTTGTTGTTGATGTGCCAAAAATATAGTAGGTGGTAGGTATGTTGCTCGGGGAAGACCAAAGGTATGCAAGCAAGTAGATCGTCATCTTAGTTTGTAACAATCACATTTGGAACCCGAGGACCCAACAACTCTTTTAGATATCTAAGCACCCACTCATACGTCTCCTTTGTTTCTCTTTTAGTAAGTGCATATGCAATGTTGGAATTTTTTTTTCACTTGAGTAACCCCAATAATCTCAACTCATGGCATGTTATCGACATCTGAATAGAAGTTGGGTATGCAAAGAACATATTGATGAGCACATTATCGACGTCCTTCTCAAGTTGAATATGGTAATTCAACTTTTCAGCTCCTTGAAGCGCAAACTACATCGCATCCATTTCACTGATTTCATTCAACCTTGTCCTGATGTTTAAGTTGTAGATCTATCTAATATCATGCCGAACACCCTTTTCAGAATCCAACGTCGTCTTTTGTTGAGCTGGATTCACCCCGCTTTCCTCATCCCTCTTGTCCGAGCTTTATCATCTTCACTGAACTGTTTGTTATGACTGTGACGTTCTGGACACAACACCTTCTCATGGTCGTGAAACCCCCTGTTCTTCCCAGTTCGACGTGATCTCACCCCGTGTAAAACCCAGGTGCTTGGGTGATACTTTTGCCATACTTCTTTAATGCATATTTCAAACTGGCAATCAATACCCTTTGAACTAGTATTCCCACGTCGCTCCTTCATAGGGTCTGGTTTGTATGACTTCTCCATCCTGCTAGATCTATCGCAATACATTAATAGCGATCAACAAGATGTGGACTATCAGTATACGGTTTTCTTGATCTGCTGATAATAAATAACCCATGCGATTGAGCGATTCTTTTTGCATCTGCCTCAGGTAGCTCGAAAGATGAATTGTGGGTGCCAATATCAAAGTATACTATGTAATCAAAGAGCTGGTTGAACCATTATGACAGTTTTCCTACAATTACAATAATTATATAACACATCAATATTAAATTCAAACCCTAAACCCTAAATTCAAGTTCTTAGCTCTAAATTCAAATCCTAAACCCTAATTTTGGCTGTTGAAAACTCCCAGGCCAAAAAATTCCGAGAGCCTGAACATGGATGGGCCGACGAAAATGGGCGACTTGAACCTAGCTAGGACGAAAGAATATTTCGGCCGCACTTGGTCATGCCGATAATTTCTATTGGCTCGACCAGGTACCGGGCATGACATTTTTCCTGCCCAGCTAAGTTCATGCCGCTATTTTCCTTCAGCCAGACCAGGTTCAGGTCGCCAAAACTTTTTGGCCTTGTCTGCTGTGTCAGAAAAGCTCGCCGGATTGCAAAATTCTATAATGAAAAAAATACATGTTTAGTGACGAATGATGGTTGCATGTGCACAGAGTGCGACAAAATTCCTCTTCTCCGATGAGTTCAGTATATGATTGCTTCTTTAACAAAACGTCGGTTTTGCCGATTTCTTAAAGTATTCTGGATGTGGGTGGAATTGAATATTTGTTGTAGTAAGTTGTGAACAACTCCTTACTCGAAGTCGTATAGGTAGAAAATATAATTAGAGGTATTTTTAGAAAGTTGGCGGCGAATAGTAATTTTGTTAACAACTCCTTTCTCAAAGTCGTATTAGTATATGTAGAAAATATGATTAGAGGTATTTTTGGTAAGTTGGCGGCAAATAGTAATTATGTTAACATTGCCTCTTTCGTAAAGGGACAGGGAATAAATAATTTATAATCGTATGCAGAAACAGGAAAGATTTGTAGCTTATCAAAGTCTTGTTTCCTTATTCCCTTTCAGTGCGGAATGGATTATTATGTCCATGCTTTTAATCATGGTTTGTTAAAGTGATGGATGCCAGCATATTTCTGCACATATCCACCTAAGCCAAGCACCTTCTTTGATTAGGATAACCATTAACTGATTATCTAATAGTGCTAAGGTTCACCATTATGAATATGTACTAATAATTGACCAACATTGAACTGATCAAAATCAGATCCTGTTCCCTCATCATTAAGCAACAGCAATGCGATAACACCTTCTTAATGCTACTTTACACCTCGCTTCTGTCAAGATGACTCTCTCTCTCTCTCTCTCTCTCTCTCTCTCTCTCTCTTTGATTCCCTCAACGTGACCACACAGTAATTGATAACTTCAGCACAACAAAGCTAACAACAACAAATGAATGATAAAAACAGTTTACTTCTACACCGGACCAACTTCAACCTGTTGCTGGGCTAGGTATCTCTCCCTCCTCTCTTTCTGCGGAAAGACCCCCCAGAAATGGAGCAGCATTAACAACTGTAAGCCACAGTGAAGTGATAACTTATGTAAGGAGAGTAAAGAGACCAAGCAGGTTGAAATTACCCATTCATCTATGACGAGCCCTTCACCAGTAGGACGAGGGGCTGGTTCCTCGGGAGGCTTCTTCCGGTTCTCGAGTTCAGCTTCCGCTTCAGCAAGTTGTCTATTGAGCTTTTGCAGTGCCTTGGATATGCAAACAATAAAGTATCAATGTCTCCTCAGATTCAGAAAGTTGCAATCTTTCTAGGTCCAGAGGTAGCAAGTTCTTTTTTCTTTTCGAGAATACTTACAGGGTTTGGGCTTTCGGGGTCAAGAAAAACAACCCGCAATATTTGCTCCACTGCTGCTTGATCTTTCATGTCATCAAACTTCGTAAACATTACATGAACAGATCATTAATTTAGTCTTAACGGTCCATGGATGAAGACGAGTTGCAAAACATAAACCGAGAATGTTGCATACCAACTCTGGTACATATTCCATCTCTCCTTTAACCTTCAAGCTCATGATCTTGAACTTGACCCTGCTTTTTAAATCCAGTTGCCTCTCAATAATGTTCTCTGGCGGCTCCACAAACTTGAACACTGTACAGTTTTCATGATTCAGTCTAGGACGGAAAATTGACCATCGTATAATTCAAGCAGCCATGGGTGGCTCTAGATTCTTACCAGTTGCAATCAGGCTCTCACCAGGGGCAAGTATCGCTCCTGGAGGACGCATGTAACAGCTCTTAGGTGCAGTTGTTTGGAACTACAAAACAAACAGCCCAAATTGCAAGCAATTAGCTTTCTTTTTTCCTTAACAATAATGCAAACAGCAACGTGAGAATACATGTACCGACCATTAGACTATCAAAATGACTGTTTAAACTATCCCTAACTCATTCCATAATCCATATACACATGTTATATTCCGACAGTCCAGATTATATTAGCTATTAAGCCAATCTTGTTTGTCTGACAACTAGAAGCATAAGAAGGCAAATGAACCTAAAGGGTTTATATTTTGGTGACAGCTGAGCTGGTGCAGCTTTGTAGAGAATCTTTGAAGGTCCCACTAGGCCATAAGCCATACATTCTGGTACATTGCTGTTATCTCATCAATTATCAAGGTTGCAGACCAGAAATGTTGAAGCAGATCTAATAAATTATAGTTTGGGATTATTTTCTTAACCACAATAGAAAGGGAGTAGAATGATTCTGCAAATAGATATTAGCAGAGAGTATGCATTTGGTCCATACCTTGAAAGCAATATGGGACTTGCAAATGTTTTTAATGCCAATTGCACTCTTTACCTGCTTCCCTGGTTCATCTTCAAAGCCACAATTTTGAAACGAATCAGAAATTATGAAAAGGGAAATCACTCCGGCATGCAATCAGCTAACAGAGAAGCTTGTGCCTTGTAGGATGACATAAAAGTAGCTGAAACAGACCACCGTGGTGAAATAGAACTTGGATCCTTAAACAGCATGCAGAAGAATCATATAATGGAATTTCTTTGAATGAACTCTACATGTTCGACAAAATGCCAAGCAGAATTTCTTGAGTAAAACATCAAAATCGACCATCATAGTGAATTATGTTAACTGTAACAATAGAACAGCACATTACTGTCTGTGAAGCAAGCCCAAGAAAACAAAAACACAAACAATTGAATTGAACACTAAGCAAATGATGGCTAAAATCAGATGGAAATCCAATGATCCTACACAAGTATGTATAAAAAGAAAGTGAACCCATTAATGGGGAAGAGAAAGAGAAAAGGCAGGGCTTACAAGGGAAGTAGAGCTTGGAGGCAGGATCAAGCTTGAGCCTCCTTCGGGTAGGCAATAACGACTTGGCGACAAGCGAAACGGTAGTAGCAGCAGAGACTGTGGTTGGCGATCTCTCTCCTCCAGGAAGCTCGCCGTGGTTTTGCTGATTCGGATCGTCGCCGGCTCTGTTGTGGTGGGCGGTGCTGTTCAAGGAGCTGGAAGATGTGGAAGACGAGTTCGTGTTAGAGGAAGAAGAAGACGAGGATGAAGTGGTTGCATTTCCCGCCGTCTGCCAGAACGGCATTTTGTTTCTTAAGTTTTCAGTTGCTGCTGAAAATTCCGGAACTTCCTTTTCCTTCGTCTACTTCTTCCTTGCCTGGCTTGTAGAAGAGGGCCAAGCTCAACGTTAATTCCGTGCTTTTAAAATTGTGAGTAAACTGTACACTGCCGGTGGATTTCGCCTTTTTACTTTTCGGTTCCCTCGGTGCCTCAAGTAATAATGACTACAACTGTATTGCTTTATTTTTTTTTTCCATAGAAATTTACAATGCGTAGCCATAATTATAAAACTTGCGACAATAATAGCTATTTTTGAAAAAAATTCACAAAATAGCCAAATTTCAAATGGTAGTTTGATAAATCTAGTAATTTTCGTTAAAAACTTTAACGGCGTTAGAATCGATGCATACGTCAGCGACAGCTCGACATATCTTGCCAGAACTGTTGATGGCACAAGAAAGAGGGCAAGGAAGGAAACTGAAGGGGGATCTATAGCCCCGCACGACCATTAACATTCGTTGTCCAGAATTTTTGAATTGGGTTAAGAGGGCAATGAGATTTGGAGTGTGATGGAGGGATTTCAGGAGGCGGAATTTATAGTTTTGAAAAATGGCTATTTTAGTCATTAGTATCAAAGTTTTGGCTATACGACTGTATTGAAAAAATATGACGTGGCAAGCCGTGTTGAGTTATCGTTGAAGTGTGCGTCGATTCTAGCACCATTAGAGTTTTAAACGAAAATGGCTAGATCTGTCAACCTATGACAAAATCTGGCTATTTTGTATATTTCACCAAATTTGGCTAAATGGACACATATTTAACTGATTTCTTCTTTATATAATTTCTTTTAATCATTTTTGTATTATTCACCTTATAAAAATCTTATTTTCATTTTTTTTTATCTCTCTTTGTTTTTCCTTCTAAAATTGACATATTTGTTCGTATTTGATGCATATTCCGACGATGTGTTTTTTTTTATTTTCAAATACTTATATATTGAATTTTTCGTGAGCTTTCCGACTATTCAACTAAAAGTCAAAAGATCACACGTATTAAGATCACATGTATATCGATAATGCGTTTTCCATTTGTAAATTCTTATAAATTGAAAAACTTTATGGGTTTTCCGACTATGCAACTAGAGGTTGAATGATCACACGTATTTCAGCCACGCATATTTCGGTGATCTATTTTTCATTTTAAAATAATTATTGATGTGAAATTTTTGTGTGTTTTCCAACTATTCAAATAACTTAACGTAAGAAGTCATGTATTTGCATAATTTGTATTTCTCTTTCATTTAAATGCACATATATTTATCTCATTTCTCCTTTTTATGATTTCTTTTATTATTAACCTTATAATAATCCTATTTTCATTTCTTTTATCTCTTTGTTTTTTCTTCTAAAATTGGCATCTTTGTTCGTATATGACGCATATTCCGACGATATGTTTTTTATTTTTGAATTCTTATATATTGACCTTTTTGTGAGCTTTCCGGCTATTCAACTAAAAGCCGAATGATCACGCGTATTCAGATAATGTGTATATTGATGATGCATTTTCTATATTTGAATTCTTATAGATTGACAATCTTAGTGAGTTTTCCGGCTATTCAACTGGAGGTTGACTGATCACGCGTATTTCGGTGATCCATTTTTCATTTGAAAATAATTATCGAATGACAATGTTTGAGTTTTCCAACTATTCAAATAAATACATTTTTTCATAGAGTCATATTTTTGAATATGAGGCCTAACAGGTCATCGAAGTGTATTGGCGTTCATGACTTAGTAGCTTCAACCTAGTGTTATATGTGGTTGAACAGACACTTTCTTACACCAATCTTAGGTTATGTCGTTCCATTTACTAATTCACACAATTGAAAAGTGTGCTGTGTTACTTTTATTTTTTTGTTTACAATAAAAAATATTAATAATATAAGAATGGAACATTCTGTGCGGGGCACGGGCTTTCGACCTACTTTTTTTTTAAGTTTCAAACCCACGAACACCAACAAATTCTTGATGAGAATTGACTAGGGTTGGGAAACGATGCATTCTATTCTGAACTAGATACTATCACGACGGTTTCTACGGATCATGAAATTAGAGGATCGACAAAGCAAGAAAAAAAAAGCAATAAACGAAGAACATACACAAATTTATATGGTTTACTAACACAGTGTACCTTAGCTAATCCATGGGCAGGAGAGGGCCAGTGCCATATACTTCAAGGAGATAAAGATTATAGACGAGTATGAGAAGTATATATAGTACTTATTCATGTGGTCTAACCCTAATCCAAATGTATACAAGGTTCCACGCTTCAATCCTTTCAATACCTTCTTTGAACCTTTGCGACATACACAACTCCATCTCTTCTCTTCAAACTGAGACCCTTGCTGTCTAAAATAATTAAGGAGATCAAATTCTTTGTCACTTGTGGAACATGTCTTACTTCATTCATGGTACAACATGAACCATCATGTGTTTGAATCTTGATATACCCGATTCCAACAACTTTGCAAACAACTCCATTGGCCATAACGACGTTACCACCATCTATCTTCTCCTAGGTTGAAAAACAATCCTTATTCGGAGGCATATGATATGAGGCTGCAGTATCTAAAAACCACACATTGCCACGATGGGGCTTCTCATCTACAGGCAAGTCGAGATCGTCTTCACCTATTGTCCACTTCTCATGTACAGCCAAAGTGAGATCGTCTTCAGAACTTTGGTTCTTCTGTTGCCCTTTTCTTCTAGGACAGTTGTACTTCCAATGTCCCGCTTCTTTATAGATGTGGCAAGCATCACTTGCCTATGTATCGGGGCCCTTAGAATTCGTGGTTCTGTTCAAATTCTCTTCTGCTAGATTTCTTCTTCCCTTTTCCACCTATAACAACGAACTAGATCCGGACACCTTATGCCTGATCACTCTGGTAAAAGATCATATCTTACATCTTCCAATGAGAATCTATCTTTATCGTCCATAAAAAAAATCCATCAAATTCTTATATGAACTCGGCAAATAGACAAGCAAGATTAGGTAATCATCTTCGTCATCAAGTTTAACATCTATGTTATGCAAATCTAACAAGGTAGAATTAAGCTTTTTTATATGTTCCCTTAACGGAGTACCTTCTTGCATCCTCAAGTTGAACAACTATTGCTTGAGATTCATCTTGTTGGTTAAAGACTTCCTCATATACAAACTTTCCAGATTCAACCACAAGCCCACGACAATCTTCTCAACATCGACTTCAATGATGACGTCATCAGAAAATGATAGCATGGGTCGAGTGCACCTTCTCCTATAGGATATTCCACTCATCTTCATCAACCCCTGTCTTCTTATGTTTACCAGACAGTGATCCCAACAACCCTTGTTATTTCTATAGCGCCTTCATGTTGATCTTCCATATACCAAACCTGGTCTTCTCCATGAACTTTTCAATCTTCACATTCACCGACGTCATTCTTTAATCTCGAAACCCTAGCATGATTTCCAACCGAAGCTCTGATACAACTGCTCATGACTGTTTCTATGGATCGAGAAATCAGAGAATCAACAAAGCAAGAAAAACCAAAGCAATAAACAAACAAGACATAGATTTACATGGTTCACTAACACACTGTGTGTTAGCTAATCCACAGGCAAGAGAGAGCCAGTTTCACTATACTTTGAGGAGATACAGGTTACAAAGGAGTAAGAGAAGTATTTATAATACTTCTCCATGTGTTCTAACTCTAATATAATATGGAAAAGAATAAGGTTACATACTAGGCCCACAACAGAAACCCAAACATGTATCAGCCCATACGCCATCGATAGGGGGCGTTGCCCCTGGACCGCACTCGCTAACCGGGCAGCGAGACCCCCGTGACTTCCAGCCGTAGCAATATAGTTCTATTCAAGTCATATCTGTCACGATCCATAGAAACAGTCGGGTCATATACAATCTATGGTCTAGACTGAGAGCCTGAAGTATAGACTAGAGACCAAACTATATTTTATATAGTGTAGACTAGACTAGACTACATGTATGTGGTCTGGTCCAATACGGTCTGGTCCAGATAGGCCACATTGAACAAAAAATGAAAAATTTGTTTAGTCATCCATACAAAAAATTATACCAATAACCGAGAGAAATTTGTTTTATTTTGCCTTAAAACATAAATTCAACATGAATGAATAATTGTGACACCCTAAATGTCATTTTATAAAAAAGATAGGAAGTCAAAGCATCACAACTTGCACCATAACGTCATAAACATTAACATAATTTCATATGAAGACACGATCATCTCTACTCTCTATTGAAATGTGGCTGCACAGCAGGGTTCTTTCAGAAAAGTTGGGGTCTCTTTGGACCTGATATCATAAAGGGGGTCCAAACTTTCTTTCTGGAGGGGATTCTCCCTAGAGGTATGAACTCTGCTTCGTTGACTTTGTTTCCAAAAATCCCTAATGCAGATAAACTATCTTCCTTTAGACCTATTGCTTGTATAAATGTTCTTTATAAGATAATTGCGAAAGTATTAGCAAATAGGTTAAAGAATGTTCTCCCTGCTCTAATTAGTCGAAATCAGTCAGCCTTTATTCAGGGGCGTAGCATCTTAGAGAATATATTAATGGCTCAAGAAGTAGTTCAGAATTATCACAGAAGGCAGCTTTCATCTAGAGCTGCTATAAAAGTTGACCTTAAAAAGGCTTTTGACTATGTTCATTGGGGTTATCTCCTAAGTGTGATGAGGTTAATGGGTTTCCCAGAGGATTTTATTAAATGGATCTCGCTCTGTCTAAGTTCAGCCACCTTTAGTATCACTGTCAATGGCAGTCTCTTTGGCTTCTTTAATGCTGTAAAAGGGGCCAGGCAGGGGGATCCTCTCTCCCCCTACCTCTTTACTATTGCAATGGAACCTTTGTCTGGATTATTAAATAAAGCAGAAGCAAATGGTGGTTTCCCTTATCACCCACAATGCAAACAGCTTGTTCTCACTCACTTGAGCTTTGCTGATGACCTACTCATATTCTCAGAGGGGTCAGGTCAGGCATTGAATGGTATCAGGAAAGTCTTGGATACATTTTATCAGCTCTGGGGTTTACAATGCAATCCAGATAAATGTGAAGTGTTTTTTTGGTGGTTTTGCTCATCAGGTTAAGGCCACTGCTCTGCAAATCTCTGGCTTTAGGGAGGGTAAGCTGCCAGTTCGATACTTTGGATTACCTTTTCTCTCAGGTAAATTGTCAAGTGCTGAGTGTGCTGTCCTTGTTGACAAGCTAACACAAATGATCAGAGGGTGGAGAGCTCAGAAACTATCTTATGCAGGCAAGATCCAGTTAGTTGAGTCAGTTTTATATGCAGTTGTTCATTACTGGATGGCAATATTTATACTCCCCAAGAAAGTGCTTAAAAGTATCCAGAAGATTTGTTCCAACTTCCTATGGCATGGTGATGGTGTTGGCAGGGCCAAGGTTGCCTGGGAATCAATTGCTTTGCCAAAGAAGGAGGGTGGTCTTGGCCTAAAAGACCTAAGTACTTGGAACATTGCTTGTTTAGCTAGACTAATCTGGCTACTGCTGATTCAGGGAGGTAGATTTTGGGTGGCTTGGTGCACCAGATATAGGTTGAGGGGACACTGCATTTGGGAGGTCAGGCTCACTGCTTCTGGGTCTTGGATATGGAAACAGATGCTCAAAATCAGGTCCTGGTTCCAGTTCAGAATGTGTCTCGAAACTGATGGAAGTGTTTCTTGGTTGGGAAGAACAATGAAGGTATTTTCTGTATCACTAATTTGGGATTCCATTAGACTTAAAAGTCCTGAGGTGCCCTGGTGGAAGGTGATTTGGGGACGATTCATTCTACCACGTAATTGTTTTATTGTCTGGCTGATCATATTGGACAGAATTGCTACTCGTGATAAATTGAGACGCTGGGGGGTGGTAACTGATGATTCTTGCCCTCTGTGTCATGCTGCTGTTGAGTCTCGACAGCATTTATTTTGTGAATGCTCATTTACCTTGGATTTTATTGCAACACTTCTTAAGAGAGCAGTGTCTCTTCCTCAGACATGGTAAGCTTTGTTGGATTACATGATTGGCAAGTCTGTGCAGGGAGTTAGAGCAGGTTTAATCGACTTCTCAGTTTGGAGCTGGTGTTTGTGTTTCATTTGGAAAGAGAGGTGTCGTCATTGCTTTGGAGAGCAATCTTCTTCCCCTGATGCTCTTGCTGAAATGTTACGCAGGGAGATCAGTATGTATAGGTGTGGTAATGCTGATTTTCAGCAGGAGATCAGTAGGATTCCGACTTATAGTGAGCTGTGTTAGCTAGTCTTTTTCTGGTTTTCTCCTTTATGTTGAGTTGTTAATCTGTAAGGATGTTTTGATCATTTCGCCTTTGTATTTTTCGAAGCTTTCTGCATATTTGCAGAAAGTTGGTGCTTAATGAAAACTGCTAATCACCGGAAAAAAATGTGGCTGTGAATGAAGGTGGGGAAGAGATTCTCAAAGTTAGGGTTGAGAATTGGTGAAACGACCCGATCCTTTTTGAAAACCAAACCACAAACCGGTTACTCCGGAGCAACCCAAACAACTTTTTAAAATAAATAAACTGACAATGTTTAAGAATTTCAAACAAAAAGACTGAACACTTGGGCAAATGACAATCCCAATACTTAAAATGAATGAACTCAGAATCTCCAGTTTATACTCCTAACCATGTAACAAAGAAAATAAACTATTCTAGCTCTGACTCTTCACGAGCTCCTTGACTTTTCAACAATGCTGGTGCAGCTACTTGCATCGCCCGGCCTCTTCTCGATATCCGCCTCTGCTAACCCTTCCTCGACCTGGTGAGTGAGAAGGTGATTATAGCCTATGCAAGGCTCTCACCCAACGATTTGAAAGCGATATAGAAGAAACAGTGCGCCGCGGTGGTCACTACCTTGACGAGGCTCTCATCTATCATTCCCGTAACTGCGTGAATGAGTAGTTCGCGATTGGGGTTCAGTTCAAGAGAGGCGAAGCTACTGTTCCAAACGGAAGCTCGTCGGGATCTCTCGAGTGGCCGCCGTCAATGCGGCGTCTGCTGGTGGGACTTCTGGAATTGGATGAAATGGTGATGGATTTATGGTTTTGGGCGCTTGTTCATCCAAATTGGCACACCAAACAAACGAGGCCGTGGGAAAGGATGATGTGTACAATTTGAGGCTCTCCCTTCTGCTTTCATGGCCTAGGTCACGCAAGGGAGGAAACTTAATTGTCTTGGCCGCCAATCCCAAGTTGAGAAGCCGTGAGTTCCATCCACTACGAGGAAGAAGATTAGAGGTCGAATAAGGAATTGGAAGTTCCGGAGCTATGCCACCCAAGCTGTCGCAAGAGCTACAACTGCTTTCGTCGTCGACCTCCACACCTCGGCATGGATACCGATCATGCCAAACTTGGGGCCAATGTTGAATCCGAAGAGGAAGGAATGATAGCAACTCGTTTAATGATGGAAGCCTATTCAGTGGGAGGAGTCGGGTAATGTAGGAAGTAACTAGGGTATCGTTGTAGCTAGGGTTACGTATTAGGTTTAGTCGCTTATATATTGTAATCACAACATTAATCCAAGGAATCAATCAATAATAAAGCTAAAAAGTCTTTCGACACTCTACGTCGTTCTCTTGTTTGTGAGCTACAAGCAAAACCCTTAACTTAGGGAAACGAGTTGCTATCACCTTTCCGTTCAAGGCAGCCTTTCTGCAAACCCAACGACGACTCTCCATCAGATTTCTTGTTCGCTACTCAATATCCATCCAACGGGCATCTCTGTTGCTCTGTTTATACCCTTTGCAACACTTGGTCAAGACTTGGCAATTTCCTCTGTTAGGTTAAATTGAGTTTTCTTCCAACTAGTAATTTTGTGCATTATATCTCCCGAGTGGGTTACTCTCAATTCAGACGGCTCCGTCATTCTTGAGTCAGGTCATGCAGCTGCAGGTAGCCTGATTCGAGATCATACAGGATGCTGCCTTGCAACATTCGCTTGTAACTTGGGTGTTTGTTCTATAACTCGAGCAGAATTGAGAGGCGCCGTTGAAGGTCTTCAGCTGGCCTGAGAGCGGGGTTTTCGACGGATTCGAGTAGAGCTCGATTCACAATGTGCGGTTCAGCTGCTACAGAACCCGGATCACACTGATCACCACCATGCTGCCATCATCTACCGCTTTCAGGATTTGCTTGCCCGTGATTGCGAAGTTTCTTGCTACCACATTTACAGAGAGGGAAATAAGTGTGTGGATGCTCTAGCTAGCCAGGGTCACTCTCTACCTTTGGGTTTCCATCTTGTTCCAGTTTCAGATCCTGTACTATCCTTTTGTATCTTGTATGACTGTCAAGGCATTTCTGAGCCTCGTCTTGTTGTGAATGAAAGCTGAGATGCATAGCATCCATTTAAAAAAAAAAAAAAAACTTAGTTTATAGTTTACTGCGTAAACTCTGTTTGGGAAGAAATTGTGTTTCTTTTGATCACAAACTGTGTAGATTGAGTTCGTAATTCTATCTCTTTGTATTTCCAGAAACTATCTACGTTTGCTTTCTTATAAATAAATTTAGTTCCTTTTATCAATCCTTTGAGCCTTCTATTTCTTTCCACTTCTCAAAACCCTTTTCCCTCATAGTTATAGAAATCACAAAGCCGCCCGAAAATAATATAGGTAAACAAAACAAATTCAGTGGAATTTCAAAAGAGGATCATGATCTGATCAGTTGTAACTTGTAACCCAACATTTCATAGTCAACCCTCTCGCATAATCAATAGATCAACTCATCATTTACAAGTTAAATTCGATATTACATACCGCTCCCATTAAATTGCGTTGGAGCGCTAAAGTCTAAATTTGTAATCTAATTGTAAGGACCCCAACAGCTCAAGTACATAACCGTCTTAAGAGACTCCTCTGCTCTCGTCGCCTTCTCTTGCTCAACCATTTTCCTGGCTCCCCCAATGCCCTGAGAAGCCGATGTAGATGTAGAAGTAGAAGAGAGCTGTCTGGGTTTAAGTTGTTGTTGGGAAATTGAAGAGGACCTAATCTTGTTCTTGGCGTGCTGGTGGATTGATCTGATGGCGTAATTCCATCTGCAGAGGCCTTGGTCTTTCATCGCCTCTACTGCTCCAACAGCCACCGCCGCCATCCATGCTCTGCTAGTTGAGCTCATCTTGATCTCCTTTTCTGGTGGATTGATTCTTTTCTTTATGATGCTCGAAGTTGAAGACTTTTTGTTGAAACTGGGAAATGGTATCTGGGTTTGTGTGCTTTGTTTTTGGTTTGGAGAAGGAAAGAGCAGATGGATGGCTTATATAATAGGCGAGGTGAGGAAATGGTTGGATAAGTTGGATGATGGGTTAAACAGAGGCGAAAAGCCAGATGTTTGGAGAAAACCAGGAGCTGTCAGGCCGGATCTCGTTGGGGTTTTGGTTGTTTTTTGGACTGTTACTATTTGGTGGCTACAGCTAGTGGTATTTCAAAATAATCAGGGGTGGTGGAGGCTGCACACTAGGCAAGTGAATGATGCTAAAGAGACGGAGAGACTATATCGCCACTTTCCCTTCTCTTCTCATTAAAATAAAATATAGGGCTAATACCACTCGTAAACACGAACTATTAACTTTGTGTCATTTGTGTCCTAAAGTATTCGATACGGCATTTGTGTCCCAACCTATTATAGTTTTGTGTCATTTGTGTCCTGACGATTTTGTTGACCGTTATATATAACGGTTGACCAAACGAAAGTCAACATTAACATTGACTTTTGTTGACGTGGCAGCCACGTAGATGCCACATCAGTGACACCTCATATTTTTAATTAAAAAAAATATATTATTATAAAAATGATTAAACCTAATTTTTATTTATCTTCTTATGTCACTTAAAAAAGCCCAAAAGAAAAAAAAAAAAAGAAAAACTTGCCGGCCAACCATAACCCTTCTTCCGTCAATCTCCTCCACCAAATCCGCCGGGCGCCCTCTCTCTTCTTCAATCGGGCCGCCTCCCTCCTCCCTTAACATCTCCCATCCCTTCTTCTTCTTCTTGCTCTCCTTCATCTCCCCAATCCCCTCAGATCCAGATCCACCGCCTCGATCCCCAAATGGTTGTCGTCCGGATCGAAATCCCGCTTGAAGTTGGCCCGCCGCCGTCGTTGGATTTCACGAACCTGAATGGGAAGCGCGTCCATGTCCGCTCTCAGACTGAACCACGGCTGCAACCCTGACCCGACCGAACCAACGACCCCGGTCTCCGCCACCGGCCACGTGTACCAAATCCAGAGCGAGTCGAGCTCCGATCTCACCAGTTGACTCGTGTTGAATTCTTGGAAAGCCAGCTCCGGATCCTCGTGGATCCTCCTCCGGATGCTTCTCAGCCATCCCAAGAACTCCGGCTCTCTTGCCATCTGCAGCAGCTCCTCAGTGAGCGAAGTCAGATCCGGCTGACTCGGACGATTCTCTGTCGCGGCGGCGGAAGCGGATTGACACGTGCAAAGCACCATCGTTAAAGTGACTAACCACGCCATTGGTAGAAAGGAGAAGGAGTGAAGTTCAATTCGAGTTCGAGGGAGGAGAGATAGCCAGGTAACCACTGCCGCCGTCGTTGGATTTCACGGCCATGGCTGCTGGGAGAAGAGATCAGAGTGAGTGGAAGACAGAGATTTTTTTTTAATTTTGTTTTTGTTTTAGGTTATTCATTTATATGAAAAATATTATAAATTCCACGTTAGATGCCACATCATCGCTGACTAAAGTTTCTGTTAAAAATTAACGGTCAACGCCAGTCAACTATAACGGAAAAATAGTTTGGGACACAAATGTCGTATCGAATACTTTAGGACACAAATGACACAAAGTTAATAGTTCGGGTTTCCTAGTGGTATTAGCTCTAAAATATAATATAATTTTATTAATATTTTAAAATGAGTGGCGACGTGTTTTCATATTTTAAAATTATCTAAAATAAATTTGTCATTCAAACTATCAACTATGTGACGCTCAATGTACTCTGCCATAAAATCATTTATAATTTCATCACTCATCCAATTTCAAAGTGCGTTTTCGCACTCGCGGTGGCGACAAGTAGCAATAACCCCAGCTTCAAAAGTCAATATGCTAATGGAAAAAAATGTATGATTTTTTTTGCAAAACCATTTTCCTAAAACATTCAGCCATTGATTTTAATCTTGCAAATTTCTCAACTGTTGTCATATCAAATATATAAGTATCTAGTTAACGAAACTCATTATGCAAGATGTCATCTTTAGAAAATTCATTATAATAAAAGATAATAAATTTCAACAACTCTTCCTTGTCAAAGTCAACAAATGAGTCATTCGGATTTTAACATGTCACACAAGATAGCAACTTCGTATTAGCCGGAATAATTCCCTAAATACAGATAAAAGTAAAACAAATTCCTAAACTACCACACTTATAAATTTTTTTTCCCCAAAATACCTAAGTTTGGAGTGGTTCGAGTTCGAGGAACTCGAACTACTAACCGGTTCGAGTGTAGGGGACTCGATCTAGTCGTAGATCGATGATATAAGCCTCGAACCATGTGGGATGGTTTGAGTTCAGTGAACTCGAACCACTCCTTTGAAATTTCCAACAACCTTAACTTTGTACTCGGTTATCCGATTGTAGCAAACTTTTTTTTCATTTCGCATAACTTTTCGAGTACTACAACTTTTATAATAGAAATATTTTCAGAATATATGTGAAAATGTGAAAATTAAAGTTGAAATTACTCCCAAAACACCTTATATTAAAAATTATTCCTATTTTGAAAATTTATTCCTAGTAAATATTGTAGTACTCAAAATATTATGCAAAATAAAAAAAACATTGCGACGTTTGGATTACGGAGCCTCCTCGTCATCAACCCAAGCCCAATCAGAAGCGGGCTTCTTCTATTTCTTATGGCTATTTGCTCATGTATTTTAACAATTGGGTCCTTCCACTTGAGCTAATTAGCATATCTACAATTATTCATTCAATTGCAGTCTCGGGGAAATGAAAGATAAGATTCAATATAGCAACTCTTGGAGTTGGAGAGTTAAATTTGTTCTCTGCCACCTAAGCTTCTCTATTCGAAGGGTTGATGATTATAACGTATGGTGCATAAATGAGATCGTGAAACACGGACTAGATCAAAGATGAAAGAGTACGAGTAGCTGGAACAACAACAGTCGTATTTAGGTAGGAATGTTCCAATCTTTAGAGCTTCTCTGTCACAATCAACTGAAGCTAGCTAGGTTGCCAGCAAGTTACAGAGTCTAATTTTCCGAAAATAAATGTATACTACCTAGAGGACAATCTATGTAATAAATGTTGAGAGAAGAAATAATTGCTCATGAGTAAGGACCCCAACAGCTCAAGTACATGACTTTCCTAAGAGATTCCTCGGAATTTTGAGCCTGCTTCAACGACTCGCCAGAAGTCATGGCGGCGGCGGCAGAGGAATTAGGAGGCAGGGTCTTGGCCTGAGAAGAGATGGATCTGACGTTGGACTTAGCGTAGTGATGAGCTGATCGAAGGATGTAGTTCCATCTGCAGAAGCCCAGTTGGTCTTTCAGCGCCTCCACTGCTCCGATGCTTGCGGCCACCGTCCAAGCTTTGCTTGTTGAACTCATAGTCTGTAGCGCTTCGGAAGAAATTTGGAGAGAAGTGATCTTGTGTATGTATGTATGTATCGCCTTGGAGAGAAGATTGCTGGTCTGGTAATCCATAAGTGACTGCAGGATGGTATTTATAATAGGGCGGTGTACTAGCTTGGATTTCAGTGGGGGTTAGAGGCCCTGGTTTTGAGGATGATGGGTGGTGGAATTTTGGGAATGCGAATGACTTAATTACCCTTGTATTGCCTCGTTATTATTTGGATTGTTATAGGGGAGAGGATGGGCATTTCCTGTCCGCTTGCGTGGCATGTTGGGATGGGATTCAGCACACGGTTTCAACTGACAACAACAGTAGAAAGTAGCGCCTCAGGCACCGCATTGGTTGACACACCAATTGTAGACAAAACCAACCTCCGTTTTGAGCAAACCACGAGTATACTATGCCCGGATAACGGATCACCTCACCACGTAGGATTTTTTTAACAATACACTACATTGGGTCCGTCTATTGATCGGATGAATTAATTGATTAGGTTAATTAGATTGTATTTTGTTTTTTTTTTAACTTTTCATAATACGATACCACTTTTTTATATATATTTTTTTTTAATTATTCATAGGCTGAACAATATGATAAAAATCAACCTGCAAACTGTGGTGTATCGATTCAACTATCAAATATCGCCCGACATGGTTTTTTCCTCATTATTGTTACTATCGTGCCATTTTTGGTCCTGGGATTGACTTTTTCAATCGCAACATTGGTAGATAAGATTTCAAGATGGAAATTCCTCAGTGTTGTTACTGTCGTGTCGTTTTTGGTCTTCGTATTGACTCACAATATCGGTAGATATTGTTTCAAGATGGAAATTCCCCAAATATATTTTTTTCGTGTCTAAAAGTATTAGCATTGATTTACACAATAATATTAGCATTGATCTTTTAAGATCAAGTAATGCGAGATAGGTGGAAAGGTTATAAGCAATTAATAGTTATCACTGATGTTCATACCATCATAAAGTTTATTTTCGTGCTTTTGATAGAAACTTATAAGAATCAATTACATTTTCTAGGATATAAAAACAACTATCTATCCCCCTAAATCACACGTAATATAGATACACATTCTATTGTACGATGTATATATAATTATGCTAATCAAAATATTTGTACTTAAATGCAATTTCCGAAGATAAAATTATGGCAATGTTTTTCTTTTTGATGATTCTCCACATGGTATATTTCTTCAAGTTGTAGAATTGTCAAGAATAATTGTTAATAATAATATGAAAAATAAAATACACAACCTTGACATAATTAAATTGCCACAATCAGATTAACTATGCACCCCTAATTATGTATGATTGTGATTCTATTCCATAATTGAATAGCTTGAAATTGCTTACTAAAAGCCACATAGCAAGGGATTCAATTCAAGTACCTGTAATAATTCTTAATCTTATATATTACTAATATCTGCAATAATTACGCAAATGATAATCACATACCTGCAGAAATTAAAGCAATAAGAGAAAGGAATTAAAAATGAAATATGAAAATTGATGCAGGTTAACTGATTTTGTGCCTCAAAAAACCTAGGTTGAGACATTTTAGGAGCTGTGAAGGAGTATTGGACGTGTTAGGTTGACTGCTGAGTAGCTGCCATGTAAACCTTCACTTCAAGCTTGCGTCTCTCACGTGTTTTTTTTTATTACTTTGTTTAGTCCATTTCTTAATCAATAATTGATGTTTGGGTTTGGTTTTCTCCAAGCCCACAAATTACCAAGAAGCCCGACCCGTGTCCTCAATTTAGTTAATGACAAAAGACCGAGACACGCCTCATAACCGTCGATTATTGTTTCTAATTAAAATGATCTTGGAGTATAAGATTTAGATAATTAAGACCTAGATTTTGATCTTTAATGGTTAGAGTATAGTATCATGTCCGAAAGATCAGTCAATTCAAGTTCTGGATAACGTTTTCTTACTCAAGATATGCGGTACCCCGGATTTCACCCTGGGTACCGTAGAACTCCCCATAAGTCAGGTACATTTCATTTCACTCATTGAATTTTTTATTATCTTAAATGCATATATATATTTACAAAAAGTTGTAAAACGGCTCAAACAAGTTGGAACCAACTACTTAAACTGATTTGACAACTTTGGTTAAATCATTAAGATTACAGTGTGTCATTGATAAAAATTCGATGTCACATTAATGTCATACGAAATTTAGCATTTCAAATAATTTAAAATTTTTATTTACGCATCATGAATATGTTGTATATAAATTACATTCCGAACAACGTGTCTTACACCAAACTATTTTATAAAAGAAAGGCATGGACTACGGAGGGCAAGCAATTTCATTTTCGAACTTTTCTTCAGGCGGATCTTGTTCTCACATTAGGAAATATCGCCCCCTTCACCTTTAGATTTCTGTTGGACAAAAAGAAGCATCATGTCCATCATACTAGTTATTTTTCTCTAGTTGAATCCATTAGATTAGTTATTATTACTAGCCGAAATAATAAGTATATGATAGTCAATGATAATTATGTGGAATTGCATATTAAACATGACAACAGAACAAATGGTGGACATTAAAATATGTGGAACGAATGTTGGAATAAGTCATCTACAATTAGTAATACTTATTCAAACCAATTATTAATAACCCCACCTATTATTTATGAAATACAACTAAATTATTTATTTCTCACTAAGATTATTAGCATTTTATTCAAGAAGGTTATTCAAATAAAATTCACTAAGGTTATTAGCATTTTATACCTCGCTACTATTACAAGTTAACAAACGTGCCACTCTATTATTTTTTTAGCACTTTCATACCCTTCATCTGTCGTAAAGTAATAAACATACACTTCTATTAATAATTCATCCAATAATAGTTAAAAGGGACGAGAAATGACTAATATATTCTCCTTGCTCACTTTAATTATTTTTTTCAAAACAAAAATAAAATAGCAACAATTTTATTGTTTAATTTTCCCTTCCCTTTTCCCTTTGTGGTATTATAAACGAAAAGCCTTGACCCCTCTCTTTGATTTATCATTTCACAAGCAAGAAGAGAAACCACACCAATCCCTCTCTGCAGCTCCACTGAACTCGACATTCGACCATGCTTCCCCCCTCGGCGGAGGGGAGGGCGGTGGACCCAAATGACAAAGGGACGAATCTGTTAAAATCACCTCCTCGATTCCTCATATGAGCCTAGATGATAGGAGATAGGCTCGACGGAAGAGAGGTCAACGGAGGGAGAAGATGGAACTCGAAGATTTTTTTACGGAGGTTCGTCGACGAAGCCGCGGTCGGAAGGAGGTCCCCGCCGATGGAGAAGCTAACTGTGGGAGATAATGAGTGGATCTCGGATTCTGTTCGGTACAACAAAGGGAAGAGAATTTCACAATGAAAACAAAAGGGAAGCGAAAAATTAAATGAAAAAAAAAAATAATTTTAAGCAATTAATTAATTAAAGTGATAAGAGAGGGGCATACTAGTAATTTCATATCCGCTTCATCGGCTATTGAATGTATATAGATATTGATAGAAGAGTAAATATGTTACGTTGTTGCGATAGATGAAGGATATGAAAGTGCGAAAAATTAATAGATGGGTATGTTTGTTAACTTGCAATAATAGAAGAGTACAAAATGCTATTAACTCAATTTCCTATTAAATTTCTAAGTCCCAATTTCACTTGTTGCAGCTTAGCATAGAAAACATAATGAGGATATCCATTTACTATCTTCTTCCAGGCTTCCTTGAGATTGTCAGAAGACAAAATATTCAAATGGATTCGACAATGTGTCCAGTCTAGGATTAATGTTCAACAGAATGCCACAGTACTGATCTGGTACCCCGTGTGGATTAGTATTTGCTGAAATTGCAGGGAAAACTTCCAACAAAGTTTAATTCACAAGTAGACTACCAATTTTTCTCGCTATGTGATTAGCCCTCTGTTCAGTCCACCATATAAACAACCACGAGCCAACAACCTTATCATCAACAACTTCCATTCCATGTCACTCATCCAGCCCCTAACTTCCAATATGCTCTGTAATAACTTGTGTATTTGATGCTTCATTCAACTCTGCAAGGGCATTAAAGTCTCCAAGAAATGGCCATTGGCGCACTACTTTCCTTTCTTAGCAGCATCTCATGATAATGATATTATATCCTCCTCTCTGCTTCCTTATTTGAACTATACACAAACATTTACCTTACGGTAGTGTTCACTTTCAGCAAGTCGAGTGACTTTCAAACTGGTGTCCAAAATATACAAACCGGCCCAAACTTTGATTTTGAATAGGTATCTAAGTGTTCCCAGGAAGAAAAAGCGCCTAAAATTATAGTCGTAGTATTTTCTTCCACTACACGAGTTTCTAATAGGCATACTATATCAATTTTTAGCTTCCTCAACTGTGCTAAAACAGTTTAGTGTTTATCAAGGGCATTGAAATCCCTGATATTCTAAATGAGAAGCTTCATTAACCTCTCTTTCTCCAACTCCCTCTACCTTTAGAGGAGAAAGAGGTAGAGCCACAGCTGTGCTCCTAGAACGATATCCAGTTAAGCCAGGAAAGGATCTATCATTATGTAGTGCCTGCCTACTCATCTGGAGTGCCCTCTGTCTTCAGTTTACCACCAAAGTAAAGCCCTCGTTATCAATTAGCTCTGCACCTGGTGGAGGAGTTGTAGCAACTACAATTACCTGCCTTATTGTTCCTACTGCTTCCTCTTGAACAGTGTCTTCTGAAACTGATTTTCCCCTTTTCCTGAGCTGCCCCATTAATTAAATCATCAACCTTGTTATTAGGCTCAGCAACTTCCCCTATAACCAGAGACTTGACAGTCTAAACCCTCTTACTAGGCCTTGTAGGTAATGCATAATCATGTCCAAAGCACTTACACTTTTCACACACCCTTGACACTAAGATTTGTTACTCGTTTTGCAGTTGCCTTAACTTCCAGAGAGATATGCGCAACACCTACTTTCCTTCCGTTCCTGATAGATTTATCCATACACAGGGCCAGGGGTCGTCCTAAGGAACTAGCAACTTGACCTAGCTCTTCTTTGGATGTGAGCTCTGTCGGTGGATCGGATAACCTAATGCAAGGAGGAAGAGTAGTATTATCAATCGCTGGTGGGCTAATCCTTGGCTCCCATTCATTTAGGAAGGAAAACAAGATCCTCGCTATGATGCCATTGTCTCGAACACCCATTGAAAATTTTCAGTACAAGAAAATTGTAAAAGGGAAAGCTTCCTACCCATCCAAGAAACTCGAACTTCTCCAGTCTTCCCCTATAGTTTGTAGGTCAATTTATTGATCGACCTACATTTAATTATTTCCTAAAAGAAATTTGAAATATTGATTTATGAATTCCAAAACTTCTCATTCTCTATAATTAAGTCCAATTAAGAAGTTCCAAATCAATGTTATAATTATATTGACAAGTGAAATTAAGAAGTCCAATTAAAAAGTCATCATAACCAAATGATTTGTAAAAGTTATCATAACCAATTGCTTTTTGTAGTTGAAATAGTGTTTTATGAATTCCAAAATTATTTCTACAGTCATTAGTGATGAAAATTAGTGACGTCAAGTGATATTCATCGCTAATGATGACTTTTACGGACAAAATCATATTGTCGTCAGTAATATTTTGTCAACTAGCTGTGCATTTGTTACACAAGCTAATCTCATCGGTAAAGACTAAAATCCTCGTCACTAAAACTTTATATGGAGGGAAATTTTGGTGCCATCATTTCTTATGACGAATAAAATATTGTGATCGGTAATGTTTCGTCAAGTAGTTGTGTTTTTGTGACTAAATTTGTACCACATAATAAATACAAAAAACTTTGTGACTAAATCTATTTTTTTGTAGGAAAGTTTGACGGTATCATTATTTGTGATGACTGATATTATGTTGAAAATAATAGTTAGTCCAATACTTGTTTGTTTGAGATTATCCTACTTACCCTCGTTAAAATACAAGCTGTTTCATTGCCCTTTATTTGAAAAATGATAAGGACTATGTTTGGACCAGCTTTTAGAAGTGCTTTTCGATTTCAAAAGTTGAAGCAGGGCAAAATATCTCTAAAATTTCGGCTTTTGAAAAGCCAAAAAACTCTTTTGTATAACATAAAAGCAGAAGCTCAGATTTGGAGTTTCGACGAAAAGCTGTTTTGAAAATACAAGATTATCCTTACTCTATTTTAATTTTATTTCATAAAGTATAATTTTATTTCATTTATAGCATTTTAAAAATAAAATAAAGTATACAATCATATTATTTAATATAAAAGAAGTCTAACAAGATCCATTTTGACTACATTTTATTGTTTAGAATTATTATTAATAGTTTATATTATAAGTCCTTTATAGTCATTTTACACAACATTTCATATTAAAAAGCACTTTAATAAATTTTAAACAAAAAACTCGACTGCTTTTTTTGAAAAATACTTTTCTAAAAGCTCAAGCCAGAAGCTGCTTCTACAAAAGCTACAGCAGGGCCAAACTGAGACAAGATCTAGTTTTGAAAAGCGAGGTCAACAAATATAAGGAATGTAAATTGTAAGGATAAATTTTGTAAAATTCATACAATACCTTGAAGTTATGGTAACTTGATGTTTTTGACCTATTATAACAGGTTTCACAAGTCGCATTACGTAATGTGTGTTTATTTTACGTAATAGTTGAAAAATATCATTACGGAAACCTTACGTAATAGACACTCATTTTACATAATGAATATTAACCTTTCGTTACGTAATATGTTGAATCATTGCGGAAGGCTTACGTAACACTTCTAATTTAACTGTAACGTAAGAAATAACTATCGTTACGTAACCTTTACGTAATAGATGCATACTTTACGTAACAGTTGTAAAGTGGCATTACGGAAGCCTTACGTAATGGATGGTCATTTTACGTAATGATATTAATCAAGTTACGTAATGTGGTAAGTCATTACGGAAGTCTTACGTAACACTTCTAATTTAACTATTATGTAAGAAATACATTCGTTACGTAACCTTTACGTATTGAGCGTGTATTTTATGTAACAGTTGTAAAATGTCATTACGGAAGCCTTATGTAATAGACGATGCTTTTAAGTAGTGAATATTAACCTAGCTTTATGTAAAATGATAAGTCGTTACGGAAACTTTCCGTAACGCTTCTAGTTTAACTGTTACGTAAAGACTAACAAGCATTACGTAATTGTTACGTAATAAACATTAGTTTTACATATCGCGACCTATAAAACCTGCTATAGCAGGTCAAAAACGTCAAGTTATAGTAACTTCAAGGCATGGTAGGAGGTCCCTTATAATAGGTTCATGCTAGCGTACGTTAGGCATACATGGTACGCCCATCGATTTTTACTATTTAGAGCACGAATTAATCGGATTTTGGAGCATGATACAATACCCTAACCTCTAATGGGTGAATCACAATCCCTAATTCTCAAACCCAAGCTACAAGATTCATTTAATCTAAAAAGTAATACCCGACGGTTCTGATTTAGCAAAATATAATAGAGTGCAAAACCAAGTGTGATGAATATAGGCGTATGGTAGCCTTTGTCATTATAATAACATTTTTTTAACAGAAAAAAATGTATACTTGTGTAGTCGGGAAATATGTTTTAGAGACAATAATATAAAAGAAAATATGGAAGGCAGAAAGTTAAATGATTATGTTCGGGGTTTCTTTTCAGTTTCATAATAATCCTCGTCCTAGTGTGTTTCAAGGTAAAGTATAAGAATTTCACCTAATGAGTAATGTGTGAAGGAAGAAAATATATGACACGTTATTTTATTTTATTTTTTATAGTGTTTAATAATATAGCTCAATCATAGCCATCACATTTTAGATTTAATCCTAACAGTTGGTTTAAAATTTCCCTAACAAAAACCCTAGCTTCTCTTTATCTTCACCTTTGCCGTTTTCTTTATGGGCAATCAAATTTTTTTATTAAGCTCAAGATGGGAGAGAAATTCCAATAGACCAAGGTGGTCGCGAGATCTAGACCACGTTGACGTCAAGTCCAATAGACCATAAAGAATATTGTCGCGAGGTGTAGAAGATACTGGTCTTGAGATCTGGAATGACCATAGTAAAAGGGGTGCAAGTAAATAGTAATAAGACGTCAGTTCCAAGAGAGAAAGCAGGCGGTTCACAGGGCAACTGCTGATTATCCCACGTTCAAGGACACGTTAACCACGTCCGAGGAAGAAGGGGAGCAGTTTTTTTGAAAGTTACTCTCACACGGTTTTTCTACGGCGGTTACCACATCAAAGCTATAAATAGGAGGAGGAGTTGACAGAGAAAAGAGTGACAAAAATCACTACTCGACACCACTTGTCAAATTTTATATCATTTTATCTTTTCTCTGTAACTTTTAACGTGTGTATTACGGGAGAATATCCCAAAATTAATTAGGAAACCATGAGCTGGAAAATACTAGATTAAATAATAGTGTAATTATTTTTTTGTTTAATAAAAAAAATTTAGCTAGTAATTATCGTCAACTCAATGGAGTTTCCTAGACTATCTCTCGATCCCTTTCGTTTTCAGGCGTAGTTGCTATCAAACTTAGCAACACGACGACGCCTCTGACACTCCTCATATACCAACCCCCATACTGAGGAGTGAGGAGCTCAATAATCAAAGCCAAACGAACCAACGTCTTCCCAATTCTTGCCCTTCCCGAAAATCTCCCTCCTCTACCCACTTTATAAACATAGCTCCCAAATTCATTTGTCCAACCCAAAGCAGTTATAAACATAGAAAAAAGATTCCCGAGAAAAAAAAAGGTAGAAGTTACCTCGATAGCTCTGAAGGGTTCCACGGAGCTTGAGGAGTGGCAAGACAGGTCAAGGGAGTGGAAAAAGCGATGGCAGGATTGAAGGCTTCTCAAGCGGCGGCTGAACCCAGCGAGGCTCAGGGAAGTTGGATTTCCTCCTCTTCTTCTGGTTCTTCAGGCAGGGAAGATTCGAAGAAAGTGATGAAAGCCGAAGTTGATCGGGTTCAGAAGAGCAGCAGAATCAGAGAAGCTGAAAGAGCTGAGAGAATCCTGAACGTCGTTTGCTGGGGTCCTCATTTAGTGTAATGCGAAAGAAAGAAGAAAAAAAAAAAAAACCCCCCCCCCCGAAGAAAATAACGACAATTTGAAATATACAAGGCCTTCCCCTGTTTCTCTAGTTCTTCAGCAGAGCACCTCTGTTTTCCCTTTATCTTTCCTCCAGACCTTTTCTTTTGGCAGGCTGTCTACTGTTGTAGCAATCCCAATCAGAGAACCCAGTTTAGGGAAACTGCTTAATAGCAGTAGTCACCTTTAAATTTCTGGATCTTGATCTACTAATTGCCGAAATGAAAAGTGTTCTTCATTGATCTTCTTCACTCGTCAGGTCTTGGCTGGCTCTTAGTTTCTAATTATTAGAGACCGGGGATGGCAATGGGACGGGCACCTTTATCTTCCTCGTTCCTATTTCCACATAAATGCGTGGATGTGGATATGATTTTTCTTTCTTTCGTTATGTTCCTTTCTTGCCTGTCCGTTTTTGGATGGATGGAGTTGTTAAAAACGTTAGCTTTATGCATCTGTACAAAATTATGCTGTTACACGATGACATGTTGAGAGATATGATGAGATCATATAGCTCCACCTACAGAGCAAACTCTCGCTATCTGAATTGCTAACCGCTCGTGAAGTAAGAAACAGAGAGAGACACAAAGGGGCCTAAGGCAATTTCGATCAGTTAAAAAATCATGAGTTGGGGCCCCAGCAGCTGAGGTACATGACGGTCCTCAGCGACTCCTCGGCCTGTTTGAGCTTCAACTCGTCGATGCTTAGAGCGGCTTGAATTGGAGCTTCCTTGCGGCTTATCAACCCGCCCCTGATGCTGATCCTCTGCTTCTTCGTCGGGCCGGAAGCTGAAGGAGACGAACTAACATTGCAATTGCCGCTGTTCCTTGGAGGAGTAGAAGAAGTGCCTTGTTTCGCAGCTGCCTGCATCTCTTCGGAAACAGGATGGAAAAGATCCTTCACCCTGTATTTCAGGTTCATAACCCTTTAGCTCCAAGAAACGAACTTATTTGAGACTATGTGCGACCTAGTAGATAATTTCTTGGTAATGGCAGCTGAAGGATTACTAGGAGGATTTCATTTTGCTTAATGAAGAGAAGGAGGGTAAGGGTTTTCTATCACTGGTAGTCGTTACAGTTGCTGAGTGAGGGACCGTGGAGAATGAAGCTTGTTTATATAGGCCGGGGAAAAGGGCAAATGGGTTTCTAGTTGCTCCTAATCCTTACACACTGTTTGTTGATTTTTCAATTGATTGAAAACGAAAAGCTATTACCAAGCTTTGCAAGCCGGCGGGCTGGCAAAGGTCGACAAAATCCAAGGGGAATTGTAATTAGTAGATAAATATATCAATAAGTTAGTGGTGTGATATTTTAGTGGTTTAATTGTTCAGTCACTAGTGTACTAGTGTAATATCTTTGTTTAAATTAATAAAACATTCAGCTAATATTATACAGGTGAAGTATCGCCAAATCAACTAGTACCGTAAAACAATTGCTTATTTAACTGTATAACATCGACTGAAATGATATTTGTAAGATATGTGTACCATAAAAAATTGCATTATACTAAAGATTTTTAAGATCTGACTGGGCGGTTTATCAATCTTTGAAATATACACGGCTCAATATTCCATCCCGATACCTATAAAAAATTTCAGTTAGAAGTGATAACTGATAAGTATAACTCACAAGTAACAGCCCCTTGGATCCAGTAAAATCCAATGTGACCAAATGATAGATGGTATTTTCTTTCCTTGTAAATATCCAACGTATACATTATATTATGTTATATGGTTAAACTGTTTAAGATAGGGTTGTGTACTCTTGCAAAACCACATTCGGACTCTTGATTTTAAGTGGTGTCAGATCTAAGAGATGAGATTAAATGACTTTATTTTTGCTATTTTTAATTAATTTTTATTTTCTTTGTTTTTATTTGGATTTCATACTATTTTTGCATAGACGAATGAGTTCGTTGTGATCTACAAAATGATATTTATTTTCAATATATTTTATTTCGCACCTCACGGTGAATTTGTTAGTACACTGGTACCACTTTATACCACCTTTGTTTATGGGGGGAAATTGCAAGACCAAATATACTACCCTTGTATAGGATAAAAATTGGTGGTAGACGATGATGAAAGGTGCTAAATGACAATTAGTATATTTTTATCATATATATACAACCATTCTAACTATGGTATATTCATAACTCGATGATACACTTTCATTACCTATGGTATAATCTTATTTACTACCAAGCATTAGCACCATTAACAGGTAATAAATGCTTCAATTTTTTTGTTCTAAAATATATAAAAGTGGATGTCATTTGAAGAACACATTTAATCTAATTTATTTGTGAAAAAATAAATTATTACTTAAAACGAATGAGATATTACTCATTAAAATTAATCGGTAAAAAAGTTAGCTGCCTTCCATGAATAAAGTTATACATAATTACTCATAGGTTGGTTATGCACAACATTTATTCCCATGGTTAATCCTATTCCCCATTACTAACATATGCATGTAGGGTTGGCAATTGGTTCAGTTCGATTTAATTTGGTTATAATCGAAACGGTTTAGTTTGTTCTCAATTAACTGTTAAGTACTTTGTGCTACCTTTGATCATATCGTTTATATTAGTCAGTTAACCATAATCGTATATTCAGTTCTCGATTATTTTATTGGTTAACTGTGTAATCGTTAAGCAAGTGATTCGATAAAGTTATATCAAAATAAGTGATCAATAACCTAAACAACAGAAGACCTCCTCCGTTTATCAATTTTACGTTTTTGTAGATTTTTCCTCCATACTTATGTGTTCTTTTTTAAGTTGTTATCATTATATAAAAATAATTAACATAGATATCAATCCATAATCAACTCAATCCAAAACAAGTACACAATAACGCTATTCTACCGTCGAATTTAATTAAAGAAGCAGACAAGTAAAAAAGACCTAACAACAATTACTCATCTCATGAACCCCACCAAATTACATGGAAGTTTAAATGTTACTGATTGTTGTCGAGCTACTTGTGCAATCCAACTTTCTACTGTGCTCATTCTAAAACCCTTTCTTGATATTATTCTCATTTGAACATAAGTCACTATTACAACTAGGGTAGGCAAGAGATCTTACGGCCATCAAACACGCCATTAGTTTTGGCCTATGACTACGACTCTTCGAGGCCTATTATTTTTGGCACTAACTATGAGGATGACTATATTCGATTACTCGGTTGACTATTTAACCGTCGATTACTAATCGTATAACTGCAGGTTAGTAATTAACTAAATTTGGATACCGAAAACTAACCATTTACTATTTAATCGATTATCAATATAAACATTAACCATCGATTCTGGTTTAGTTATCGATTTCACCACTATAACAGGATAATCAGTTGTCATCCCTTGTTTTGGTTTTCACTTTTCACACTTGGTTAAGTACTGGGATCAAGTGCCTCCACCCCAACATAGCTAGTGCAATATTTTAAGTTAATTGGTTATGGTAATCAACACTGTCACCACCAGCCTAGATCTTGTATGGCTTTTGCTGGAGGGCCCTCCTCAGAATCTGGCTGTTATCTCTACGGCCTCTTTTCTCTTGCACATAGCTCCAACCTTCTTTATCAAAACAAAAGTAAAACTAGTGCTAAGTGATGTGCTGTCCCACTAGAACATCATTAGCCAAAATTGTTTAGGATTAAGGAGGACAAGTTGAGGGTTTACCAAAATATATATATGGGATCACGTTAGGATGTCTCCACGGTCACTGGAGCAGAGTTCAGAAGAGGGGAATAAGTCCATGTGAGTGTATAGATAGCATGTACACGTTGAACCCAGATGGATAAGGATTAAGGTTTCCTCATTTAACAATGCTACTGCTTTCTTGAAGTTTCCCCCACCCTTGTTTACTTTGCTCTTTCTCTGTCTGTTTGTTTTAATGGTTGGTTGCTTTTTTCCCCCAACGAAGCCATGCCTCTCATTTCTCAATCTCATAGGCTTGTGTTGTGCAATGAGAGCAGCACAGCTATTACTCCTGTTATAAACGCGCGGCTGCGGATCGGAAAATCGCCGGAATCGAGAAAGTAAGAATACAAAAGCGAGAATCGAAAACACGACACACGATTTACGTGCTTCACTAACACGATGTGTGTTAGCTAGTCCACGGGCGAGAGAGAGCCAGTTTCACTATATCGAGGAGATTACAGAGGAGATGAGAAGTATTTATACTTCTCCATGTGGGTCTAAGCCTAATCCAATATGGCAAAGGAAACGGTCACAAACCCCTGACTATTCCAGTCGTAGCGGCTGATAGTCCGATTCAAGTCACATCAACAAATCTCCACCTTGACTTGAATCATCTTCCTCTGAAATCTCTAATGTACTATGCTCCTTCTCTCTCCCTCCCGCCATCAATGCCCCGTAGGGCGGAGTCACCCACTCAAGACATTTAGCAAGTCCAAGCAGTGTTGGAACTTGCCATGTGGGAACGGCTTCGTGCCAACCTTCTTCACCTTAATCCTCTTCTCTATCCTCAAGAAATGATACCTCATGTCGATGTGCTTAGTCCTCTCATGGTGGACTTGATCCTTGGCCAAGCATATTGCACTCAAACTGTCACAATTCACCACTGCCTGATCATGATGTAGACCCAGATAACTAACCAGTCCCTTCAACCATATTCCCTCCTTAGCAGCTTCTGTCAACGCCATAATACTCAGCCTTAGTAGTAGACAATGTCAAAGCCGACTGCAGAGTTGCCTTCCAGCTCACTACAGAACTCCCAAGAGTGAATACATAACCGGTCATCGATCTCCTCGTGTCAACATCTCCAGCATAGTCCGAGTCATAATACCTAGACACCAAGCACTCTGTATCACTTCCGAAGCTAATCACCACATCAGGTGTACCCTTAAGGTACCAGAAGATCCTCTTCACAGCCTGCCAATGCTCCTTCCCAGGTTGTATCATGAACCTGCTAACAACACTAACAACATGTGCAAGATCAGGTCTAGTGCATATCATAGCGTACATTAAGCTACCTACTGCACTAGCATATTGGACTCTTGACATGTACTCCTTCTCAGCCTCTGACTGTGGTGCATAAGGTGAGGATAGATGAACATTTGAAGCACTATGAGTATTTAAGGGCCTTGCTGAAGACATGCCAAACCTTGACAGTATCTTCTGGATGTAGCTCTTCTGTGACAAGAAAAGCTTCTTCTTCGACCTGTCCCTGTAGATCTCCATACCCAAGATCTTCTGAGCAGCTCCCAAATCCTTCGTCTCAAACTCAGCACTCAGAAGCCCCTTTAACTTCTGGATATTAGACTTCAACCTCGCAGCTATGAGCATATCATCCACATACAGAACAAGGTAGATCATCGAACCATCCTCCACTTTGTTGTGATACACACAACAATCATATGGACTTTTGTTGTAGCCCAGATCAAGCATGTAGCTGTCAAATCTCTTGTACCACTACCTCGGAGACTGCTTAAGTCCATACAAGGACTTCTTCAGCTTACAAACATAGTCTTCTTTTCCTGGAACCTAGAATCTTTCTGGCTGAGTCATGTAAATTTCTTCATCCAACTCTCCATGTAGGAAAGTTGTATTCACGTCTAGCTGCTCGGCTCCAAGTCATAATGTGCCACTATTGCTAGTAGCACCCTGATCGATGAATGTCTGACCACTAGTGAGAAAATCTCATTGTAGTCAACTCCTTCCCTCTGAGAAAATCTCATTGAATACATGCCCTCTTCATAAGTGATTTCCACCTCTTTCCTTTTTATTTTCCCCACTTCTAGCATGCAGTAGACCTCCTTTCACTTGGGTGTTGTGAAACCCTAACTCTACCATGTAGTTTTCTTTTATGTGAATTGAATGATTGTCATTGAGTATTGTTTAATT